ACTGGTTGCACGGCCACAAATGGTGTATTACATCACAGGGCATGGGCCCTTTCCAGTATATTTTGAGAGATTTGGAATCTCCAATTCGGATCAGTGCTGCTGCGGCGATCTGGGCACAGCAGAACACTACGTTCATGAATGTCCTCTCACGGAGGGAATGCACATTCCGTTCCCGCAGACGAACAGGGAGGCATTCAACAGATTTATGGTCAAGCAGCGACACCAGACCAACAAAATTACTCATATAATTGATAAGCTAATGGACATGGGTCCAGACTTATGCCATGTGTAAATATAACTGGTCAGTATGTCAGCAAATTTCAATGTAAATCAGTATCATTCAAGCATAAGTAATCTAGGTATGTCTGCGATGTGTGTATATAGTGTGGGCAAGCGTGTCCTAATGTATGTTATTATTATTATTATTATTATTATTATTTTATTTTTTTTATTGTGCTAGGTGTATATACTAGCTCTGTCTTATTATTCCAAAGCAAATTAAGGTAATGTCATGTAGGTATTTAGAAAGTATATGTATGTAACAGTGCTGGATTGCATGTCAGCAAATATGTATTAACAGAAGCATGTAAATAACTACTAATGTATATCTGCCCTTGTTTAGCCATGTACAATGCTATTCTTGAAGATTCAAAATCACTGGACCCGGGCACTTTGGACGGGTGTCTACCCGGTGGCATTTGGTTCGCGGAACTGCCAACCGGATGGTCCAGGCGTTGGGTTTGGGCGCCTTGTGCAAGCCTCCCATGTGGCCTCTCTGGCTTTACTCTGTATAAGGGCGGACGTGGCCCTATATGCTAATTAACTTAATAGTAAAGGGGTGGTGGCCACGTCCTCCGTCACTATACATCCTATCATACGCCCTTTTACGACTTTTCCCGTAACACCTTGGCATATCCCCATCGAGTGTGCTTTTCTTCAAAAACCTTTCAACAGGCCCGTCGGCTGAGAACTCGTGACGATTACCCACTAACGAGTGCAACAATTAGGGATATTCGATGCCAACTCTATGGGACAGTGCTTAGCGGGATAGCAACTTGCATCAGGGACAGAAGTGGGCCAACGTATTATTGATTTTTTTGTTTTTTGCTGTTGTTGTTGTAGCTCTGTTTCCTGAATAAACCTTTTAATTTCTATGACACTGTTATAGTTTCGTTTTCGATATATCTACACCTTGCATAAAAGAAAAGGGACAGTTTCTATATCTCTCGTTCTACTGGACCGATTGTCGAAATTTAACTTGCGTTTCTTGATTGTCGAAATTTAACTTGCGGACCGATTGTCGAAATTTAACTTGCGTTTCTTGATTGTCGAAATTTAACTTGCGGACCGATTGTCGAAATTTAACTTGCGTTTCTTGATTGTCGAAATTTAACTTTCGGACCGATTGTCGAAATTTAACTTGCGTTTCTTGATTGTCGAAATTTAACTTGCGGACCGATTGTCGAAATTTAACTTGCGTGTCGAAAGCGTGACTTCGGATATCTATTAAATTTATACATAGCATTGTTCTAACACAGGTATTTTGACACAAAATCGGACTTTTTAGTGCGCCGCATTTTATGTTGTAGAGTGTAGTAATGTTCTTTTCTGCTATTAATTACACATTCAGGTTCTTAGTTCAAGTTAGTATGTTTGTTAGTTGAGATGTTTATTAACCCATTTATTATTTCTTTCTGCTGTACCGATCAACGTATTGTTGCGTTTTTCTTATTCTTCTGACACCAGTTGTTACGTTATTTTCTTCCTTCACGTTCGTACGGAGTTTGTGTGGATTTGGAGTGAATAACGACGACACTACCTGATGAAGTATCGAAACACTCGTTATTTCCCGGTATTGTCAGGACAGCTCCAAAACACGTTTACAGTCGTCGATGAACTACTATAAACACGCTGACACGATCAGCGACACACCTCCAGGTTATCAGGCTATCACGGTGGAGACAGCTTCACGGCAAAGCCCCACTAGAGTACAGCTCCCGACTCTGCTCGGTCGTCCTCGGAGCTCCGCGTACTCTCGAGACTCTCCACGCTACAACTAGCGATGCACTCTACAACAGTTAGAGCACAGCTCCCGACTCTTTGGTTCAGTCGTTCCTGGAGCTCAACCCGCTTTCTCGACGATGCACTAACCGCGGTACACTAACAGACTCCTTCGGTGAACTCGACGACCCACTCGGCAGTCGCTGCCCGGCTGTCAACTCGATCGACTCCGCAGGGATTGACTCGCTAGACGAGACACCACTTGGATGTTAACTAACTTTCCTCGTACCAGCAGGGTTTATATAGCTTTTGACTGGTGTTCGAGAACATTCTGTGCTAAACCGGTAAGAATTCGTTCCAGAAGGCTCTCCATCCGTCCATGGGATATCGTCAATTTTGTCGCCAAATAGGCGATTTCTCGCCAAATGTGGCAACTTTGCCTTTCCTTGCCATTTTATGGCAACCGTAAACCTGCTTTGCGGGGACGCTATCTCACCGCGCCTGTACATTTCGTAACAGTGCATTTCTTAGCTCCTGTAGAGTCCGGGAAGGAGTTTGCGCATTGAAATTCATCGGTCTAAGTCATCCCACACATGCTTAGTCGGATTCAAGTCGGATGAATTCGCTAGACGAGACACGAACGCGATACTGACTATCTCGCTCTCTAGACGAGGCACTCACTCCCGCCCTCTCGACGAGGCACACTAACTGATTGCAGACCAGCAGGGTTTATATAGCTTTCGGCTTGTGTTCGAGAACATTCTGGGGTAAACCGGTAAGAATTCGTTTCAGAAGGTTCTCCATCCGTCCATGGCATATCGCCAATTTTATTGTTACCAAATGGACGATTTCTCGCCAAATGTGCTTTCCTTGCCGTTTTATGGCAACCCTAAACCTGCTTTGCGAGGAAGCTATCTTACCGCTCCTGTGCATTTCGTAACAATATTATTTCTTGAGAAAACTTTCATATACTTTTACGTTATTTTAAACATTAAGAGTAAAAGAAAGTAAAACTAGCAAATCAAATTGAGGCTGTAAATAAAGAACAGTTATTTTATTAATTTTATGATTTGCTTAATTCTGATGGGATTTTTAATATAAAATTTCTTGTGAAAACTTCATTACAACGGAAACGCTGAAATATCTTCTAGGTTATCAAAGCAAAGCAACATGTGAAAAATTATCTGTGATCTCGCCAGGATTCGAACCACTTATTCTCCAATCATTAGCCGAATATGTTAACCACTTACACTACCAGAACACGCAGAGTAGAATGTGAAAATTCCTTATAGCGTTACTTCAAAAATTAATAAAACCTTAAAAATATAATCGTCCACATATCGAACTTTCCAAGAGATTAAATGCAGATTATATGTAATTTCATCTGGAGTAATTTGCTTGGCTGCTATAGAAAAAGAAGAAAATTCTATACTTATAAAGTAACACTATTTCTAACTTCAAAAAATTGAAAGCATAATATTCCCTTTAAGCTATTGAAATACATATTTCATAAACTGATATTTTAAGAGATTACAACCCGCGCTTTTTAGTCGCTGAAAATTTTATTTCATAATACCTTTTAAAAGCGTTTACTTTTAAAGTATGCTTAAGGGCTTCTAAATGGGTTTATCAAATGGTTTGTAGTATCCGTACATTCTTAAACATTCTATTTCTCAAAATTTTTATTTAGCCCAATGTTAGCTTTATGTTTCGATGACATTTTGCTTTTAAAATACAAGGATTTAAATTCCCAAAGCAAAGTCACAAATAGCAGACATAATATGTCCGCTTACTGATTAAAGTTTTGAGGTTTCTGAGGTACTCTAGTTATGAGAAAAAGAATTTGAATATTAGTTAGTTAAGATATTGTTTTTTTTTTTTTTTTTTTTTTGGATTATAGAAGCAAGTAACTGGCAAAAGTATAATACTTAGATTAATATTAGATATAATACTGGTAAAAGTATAATTTATAATAAGCTATGTCATGCATTTTTATTTCCTTGTTCGGAGTAAAGAAAATATTGTAATCGCGAAAAATTCCGGGTACCATATTTCAATGAAAATAACCATTTAGACAGCTCTCGAATCGATGTAAATGATGTTTTTGCGTGACATCTGTACGTATGGACAGAATAAAGGACTGGTTTTTCAAAAATGGATTTAAAACGGATTCAGAAGGCATTTTAATCGTGACGTTTGTACGTACGTATGTATCTCGCATAACTCAAAAATGAATAGTCTTAGAACGTTGAAATTTTCTATATGCGACTGCTGAACGCTGCTCAAGTGGACTGCCGCCCTTAACTATAGTAAGCCTTACGGTATTTGTTTCCACTTGGCAGATGCTGTCTAATCATAACTCGCTGATCCGACAGCATTTATTATTTCAAAATCTTAGGTTTCATAATCACTCATTATTTTACATAGGTTTTTAGTATCTATAACTGCCTGGTTGTTAACTCAAGTTCTATTTTAACTACTACGCTGCTAACTATACTACACTACTTTAACATGGGCAATGTTGCTATAATTCCTTTACACTACAATACTACTTCAATGTTTTACACTAGACCACACTACATTTTACACTGAGTACTATACATTGTAACAATATCATATATAAATGCAAGACATAGAAGAATATATTAATGCAAGACATAGAATATCCTATATAAATGCAAGACATAGTAAACCTGGTTATAAATATAATACGATAATATTAGATCATTTTTCTATCGCACAATTTCGAGTACAATACAATGCCTACGAAACTTTACACTCTAGTACTATAAGCTACAAAAGTACAAACTCCGCTAGAATTGCATTTTACATTGGGTACAATACATTGTGATTCTATTATATATATGTACAAAATTTACAAAATATATAAGCATTAAAGTCGCATAACCTCATACTACTACTTATACAGATATACTGAACAATTACTGTAAATACAGTAGCTCTATATCTTGATTACAATTGATTACAATGATACTTGATTACAATGATCTACCCGTGGGTGCTGAGTCCCACCTTTCCTGCCACTGGCATAATAAATTTTCAAGAGTACTTCTCTTGAGATAAGAGGTAGGGAGTTTCACAGGATATTCTCTCAGGCTTTTATCATTTGCTGCCGATTTGGCAAGCTCATCTGCCTTTTCATTGCCTGTGATGCCCACATGAGCTGGGACCCAGACCAAGTGTGGACGTAAGGAGGGAGGGGCAATGCAAAAGAATTTTTTTGAGCTCTTGTACATAAGAGCTCCTGCTTTTATTTCCTCTAATCGCTGCCAGGCTAGAGGCCGAGTCACTGAAGATTGTTGCTCTGAATCTAAGAATCTAAGTGAATAAACTGCAAATTTAATTGCTGCTTTTAGCGCTGCAACCTCTGTCTGAAAGACTGTATTTCTAATATCTAGTCTTCTTTTCCATGTTTTAATAATAGTCTCCCCTTGTAAAGCGCAAAATGCACTACCGGCGCCTCGCTCTGTTTTGGATCCATCCGTGTAGAGGCTGAAGCTGTTCTTTTTTGAAGATGCGTACACAAGTTGGATGCTATCGGACAAGTCTATGTCTGCGGGGTGCCCTAAAAGAACTGGTTTGTGCTTTTCATAGTCTGTGTGTGATAATAGTTCTGATTCCATAATGTTGCATTCTCATCCAGTCTCAGCACTCTTGCCAATAGGGATTCCCGTTCTGCTTGTAAGTCTAATGGTGGTATACCAGCAAGCACTTGAAGTGCTGCTGTAGAAGTGGTTCTGTATCCTCTGCATATCAGTAATAATTGCATTCTTTGTATTGTGAGCAATAGTTTACTCATATGTGAGGAGAGATATTTTCCCCCCAAATTGCTGCACCATACAAGATAATCCTCTCGGATATAGTACGATACCAACTTCTCAGAATATTGGCTGGCGTTCCCCACTGTATTCTTGCTGTTTTGAGCATGTTATTTGTAAGGCTGTTTATTTTCTGTTTCACCTCCTTCAGGTGTGGAACCCAAGATAATTTTATTATTAAAAGTCAGTCCCAAGTACTTCAGATTGGGCACGCATTTGATCGGTATACCGTTCATTTTAATGGACGGGTTTCTTTTAGGAATACCTTTCCTACCTATGTAGAGCAATTGGGTCTTCGTTGCAGAGATGATCAGTTTGTGACTCTTGGCCCAGGCTGCAAAGTCGTCGACTGCCTTTTGCGCCTTTTGTACCACGTCTTTCCTGCTAGTAATGACTAGAAGAAAATCATCTGCGAAGGCTTGTATATTCACATTTGGATTATTATCAAACAGAGTAAAGGCTGTGTTATCCACCAAATTCCATAACGTGGGTCCCAAGTAGGAACCTTGGGGGCATCCTCTTTGCAGTTGGTAATTGATAACCCCTTTATTCGTAGTAACCTGTACTCCTCTATCTTGCAGATAACTTCGCAAGAGCTTGATAATTTCAAAAGGGATTTGTGCATTATCCAGGCATTTAATTACGTCTTATATGCGACTGCTATAACATTTAATAGTGCACCTTCCTTTATAGTTGTAATCGGCCGTCCAAATGTACATTTGCATATATATATATATACGTAGATTGGAGCAAAAGTTATGGCAACTATTTTTTTCCTTAAAGATACCAGTCCGGTTGGAAAATGTGACATATACAGACGAAAGGACACAGACGAAAGGACAAAGTCTTAACTACATGCGTGGACAATGGATAGCACTGAAATGTCGTAACACACGAATTTATTACGGTAGTATACAGGGCAATATGGCCTTCACCATGCAAAAGAATGATAACACAATACACATAAGTTGACATGACACACCTGGGCCTAAAGACTCTCAATGTAGTCCCCTGCTATAGTCACCACACGCAGCCAACGATGTGGTAGGAGCTGAATACCATCGCACCATGTGTGAATCGGGTCATCTGTTCGTGCACAACATTAGCAATGTCCTCTCGTGTTGCAAACCGCCTACCACGGATCGGTTCCTTAATCTTGGGAATGAGATCAAAGTCACAGGACGAAAGGTCAGGAGAGTACGGTGGGTGCTCCAATTCTTCCCATCCCCGACGTCGGAGTAGCTGCCGTACACTATGTGGTCTTGCATTGTCGTGAAGAATTATTGCACTGTCTACAAGATCCGGACGTTTATCCCGAACGCCACGTCGTACCTGTCGCACCAGGAAGTCCCTGTAGCACTGTGCGGTCACTGTTCTGCCATGAGGAACAAAGTGGCAAACAGTGATTACCCCTGACGTCATACGCGACGATCACCATCAATTTGACTGGGGAAGGATTCTGACGGACCTTCTGCTGCCTTGGTGATCCACGATGTCACCACTCCGCGGAGTGATTATTTTTTATATTAATTAGCATTCATTATGAAATGGTTGATTGTTTCTTTCAATACTGCCATACAATTACATAGAAGTTTTCCAAGATAGTTAAAGTTTTTGCCCTAAAACGATTCGCGGTAATTAAGTTAATTTGAATGTAACCACACCGCTCACCCGAAAGCGAAAATATAGAAAAGGCAAAATCAAGAGTTAAATTCATCCATTCTAATGAGAATGCACTATCGAAGTAAAGCACTATGTTTTTACCTAATTTCTGAGTAAGCTATTCGTACGAATTAAAATAATTCTTGCATTTAAACTTGTATTCCAAATTAAAATTTACTTGAAATTAATGTAGATAATTACTGAGAGAATTAGATTTTTGTAGCGTAGTTTACGTGAGATGAGATCACTTGGGGTCACGTGATACGAACCCGCGAATGAGGATTTTGAACCATGAAAGCATAGTAAATTCTTAAATGAATGTCTTTTTACAAATTTATTGTCTTTATTTATTGGCATTTTACAAAATTTTAAACGACATTAAAATGTTTATGCCTTCAGAATAAAAAATTCTTAGTACTAACATTCGTTAACATTTTTTATGTGCATACTGTATGTTGTCGCCAACAAATGTTATATTAAAAAGTTTCGACACCAAGGTTAAATAGTTTTACTTCTAGGTACCATGTTATATCTGAAATTCCTATTTTGTTAAATGTTAAATATGAAACTACTTGCCGTTAAAGGTAGTAATCGTATAGTGAAACGTGTACAGCATTTTTGCGTTGTGAAAAAAATGCATTCCGGGACCGCGCCGTGAGAGGATCGAAAACATAAAACATATACAAGATATAAAGGAAAAGTTCATATTAAATATATAAAGAAAACATACTGTAAGAGGTTCCAGATTAAATATCAGTTTATTCAATTACAACACAATAAGAAAAATCTTAACCTCATCTGAGAGTCTGTTCATTTAAATTCATAAAAAAACTTAAGGTTTGTCTGGTGATTTAAAAGAAAGGAAAGGGAAACAATTTAAGGCCTGAGAGTTAAATTTTAGATTCGACGTTGTTTTTTACTGCTAAGGACGTTTTTGAAAAGCTTGCCTAGGGTTCAAACACACCAAAAAAAAATAATACTTATTTTGAGTGGACATCTTGAAGTGGAGGAGAGCTCATATCTTAGCTCTATCCTTACGTCACTTGGCAAATCCGCAAGACAGAGACTCGAACGGCACGACAATAAATTACATCAGCTATACCGTCAAATCTTACGCCTGCTACTGGTTTCCATATAGAAGAAAATTATTCCCACTGGAAGCAAGAGAACAGCTTACACCGCACGGCTGTCTGCCTAGACTCTCAGCTCCACCAAGGAAAACGTAGACAATTAAGCTAGGCATTTTAGAGAACGGCTAACGCAGGCTTCCAGTTGACTAAGGTGACATAATTCCTTCTGTTTTCAAGTCGGAGTTCAGAGGACATCGTCCTGACTTTTGCCGATACAGATAGAGACCCAAGTCTCTGTTAATTTTTTTTGTTATTCGCTCAACAGTTTTTTTTTCTTTCTCCCTCGCATTTTTGAGAAAACCCGCGGCCGGGGAGCATAATTGCCGCTCCCCGCCGGAAGCACTGCTCGATGCCGACTAAATCTTTTCCTTTCTCCTTCGCAACACCCACAAGTTTTTTTCTCAGTCTCCGTCAACAAGTCCGTCAAGCCCGAAAGTCAGCGAATCCAAGCAGTGAGTGCCTAAGCGAGTCAAGAGTAAGTGTGTCTCGCCTCTTAACCAAACGCGGCCGGGAGCATATTTGCCGCTCCCCGCCGGAAAACATCCCGCTTCGTAATTACATTTTGTCCAGCAAGCCCGAAAATCAGCGAGTCAGTCAGAGAGTGCCTAAGCGAGTCCAGAGTAAGTCTGTCTCGCCTCTTAACCAAACGCGGGGCCGGGGAGCATATTTGCCGCTCCCCGCCGGAAAACATTTTTCTTCTTTCGTACTTACATTTTGTCCAGCAAGCCCAAAAAAATCAGCGAGTCAGTCAGAGAGTCAGCCAAAAAAGTAAGTGTGTCCAACTCGAATTTCCTTCGTCTCCTTCACCAAAACGGGCTCCCACTATGGCTTCACTTATCGCCCCCTTAATTATGGCAAAATCTTCGTTTTCAACTCCAGAATGCGGAAATAAGGGTGATCGCGCATGCGCGCCCTTCTTTACTTAGCCAACAACAACCGGACCCTCAATCGCCAAAAACCTGAATGACTTACATTGAAAGACAAGTAGCAACCTTTGACCTTTCCGTCACGTACTTTCCTCTCTTAAGGTCAACTAACAATGAAAATTCTTTCTCGAACATTCTAAAGCGCGCGAAATCATGACTTGGCGAAAATTGCCTCCCTTTCCCTGCTTCTTTCACAATGAATAAAAGTTTGTACAAGATTTACAAATAGAGGAAAATAAATAATACTCTTTTAAACTAAATAATATTTCCAGAAGCATCTGTTTTTCCCCAAAATTAAAGCCTTAAATTAAATAATTCAGAATCAAAATAAAATTTAAATTTCCATAAATCATAAAATCATTCACCTAATTTTCATAACGCTATCCGGTAATTTCTCTACATAACACAAAGTCTGCTTGGCGAGATTTGCGACGGCGAAACGGAAAAGTACCGATTTTCGAACTTGTATTTATTAAATAACTTCAAATTCGTTCCCAAAATTTTAGAATTAGGTATCCATAAAATGTAATTCATTTTAATAACTATTACTTAACAGTATTTACTTCGCTGGAATTTTAAATTATTTCATTGTATTTGAACGAAAGGCAACAAAAATGCCCGTGTTCAACAACTTAGAATAGGGTCCGAGGGCAGATTATGAGGCTTGCTCTGGAAACGTTGCACAGAGTTAAGTTGAAATCAATGTAGCCTCTAAGGGGCTAATTGTTATCAACATAAGCCAGGGTAAAGACTTGTTTTTTAGAAGAAAAATTGTTTGAATGTGTAATAATTTCTCGCAGCGCTGAAGTTACCCCATTTCGAAAAAAATCTGCGTGACCACATGACACCACGTGACTTCCTTACACAGTCTATTAAATTCTACACAATTTTTGTTGCATTTCATTTAAACTTATTTCCTCAAATTATTCTAAATTAACAGGTCTCTCAACGAAAATTGAAAATGATATAAAAATTACAAGTTGTGAAGTAAAATAATCTGGTCAATTTTTGTCTTACGGGAGTCGAAATTCTTATAATTTTATTTTTTCATAACTTTCCAAATATGAGTATGGCAACCGTGGTATTA